TTTTTTTTTCACCTCAGACCAGTGACAAAACCAGTAGGAAACAGGCTTCACAAATCAGAGACTGTGCTGGAACGACTCTTTAAACTCTCCTTGATCATTTAGTCTAGATTTGGTAAGTTTAGATGTTGTGGTTCTGGATCTATATGAGCTAGATAGGGAAGAAAAAACAGTAAAAACGTCCTGTGTTGCAGTTTTAAATCAAATAAAGCTTTCACAAGCTTAACAGTAGGTTTCACTGAATGCCAGGAGTCTTTCTGGAATGCCTAACACCCTTTCACAACATTAACAAAAACAAGCAAAAAAAAAAAACTTCACTTTCTCTCAGTTCATCTTGGGACACTGAATTTGAAAATAGGAATTAACAGCATATACAGGATGTGTATAGTAAAGTTTATTAATACTCTTGGGGGCTTTTTGCATATCATCCAATGTACTTTAAACTTGCATATATATTTTATTTTATTTGTAGAAATAAACCAATCCAAATCTGTCACCACAGGATGTGTACTTTTATGGTGACAATAATGGGTTTACCTGTTTTGATACTGAGTCAGCCAGTAATATGAGATCACGTAGGACCCTGTCAGAGGCAACAGAATGTTTACCCACACAGAGCTGACTTACAGGCGCATGGGCTTCATACTGTTGAAACTCATGACTCCAAGGGTCATTTGGGATTTCAGTAGCCAGTTGTCTAATAAACCTGACAACCATTACAATGGATATCTATTTTACATATGGGTTGCTGTTTGCATATTTTGCTTTGCCTGGAATCTTACTTGGGGATTTAGCATTTCGATGCCCAAGCTGCACTGCGGCACATTTAGCCGCGTGCCCCCAAGTCACAGCAGTATGTTCAGAAATCGTGAGGGAGCCAGGCTGTGGATGCTGTCCGGTGTGTGCCAGGCTCGAAGGAGAGCTCTGTGGGGTCTACACACCAAGGTGCTCCAGTGGCCTAAGGTGCTACCCCAGTTCAGATGCTGAATTTCCTTTGAGACAGCTCATTCAAGGTTTAGGTCGATGCAGACAAAATGTAGACTTGGATATGATGACAAGTCCTGACCACCAGCCAACAAATGGTAAGTTCTTTGGACAAAAGTACAGAAAGAGGAAGATCAAAGCTGCACTGATTATTAGTTTTATATTAATAATGGATGAAATTATTATGTCAGAATCTGAAGTTTTTGGCCAAGCGTGATTCACATGTTCAGGTACAGAGGCTTTCAGTGTGCTTTGTAAGGCAACAATCAACACAAAAATAAAATGAAACATTGTGTATTCAAGTAGGAAAAAGCGCCAATCAACAAATGTGCAGTCAGTAGGAGAACGAATGGGAGAAATAGGAGAAAGAGTAGGAGGAAAAGACATGATCTATTTACTGTATAAACATACACACACACACACTAGGCACAGTGGTTATATTTACAGGTTATTGCACTGAGGTGGTTGCTGTGTTCAGTCATACACTCAGGGGTTAACTGTTCATCAGAGTAATGGTACGGGGAAGAAACTGTCCTTATGTCCGGTTGACCTGCAGCGCCGTCCAGAGGAGAGGGGTTCAAACAGTTTGTGTCCAGGATGTGAGGGGTCTGCAGAAATATTTTCTGCCCTTGGCCCATGAGTTGTACCAGTCCTCCATGGAGGGCAAGCTAGAACTAATGATTCTGTCTGTAGTCCATACAGACCACTGTCCGTTCCTGTATGTTTGGCATAAAAGGTGCCACTCATAGTAACAAACCAACAGAGAAACACTTGAACCTCTTTTGGTCCGTTCTTGTGGTTTCATGACCCACAACTTTACAGTTCTGGTACTGTGTCAGTGCTTTCACTCAGTATCGTTTCCAGCGGTAGGAGGCAACAGCAGATTTTATTTCAGATGCTATGTTTTCAGCTTGTTGTGCAGTGTCCAACTATTGCAATAAAATAAATTAATGTAGCTTGTGAGTGTAATAGTTGAAAGCTGGGTGAAGTTCAGAAGTCCTAAGTCTCTTGCAGTGGATGTTGGCTTCTGTTAAGTTATTTAGATTTATTATTTGGTACATGACTCATTAAGATGTGATGCAGTGCTTTTACTGTTTCTATCACCACAGCTTTATATAATCAACGGGAGAAGTTTTGAATGTTCATCCAGATCAACCAAATAAAAAATCTGCTAAAATAAATACAATCTTTGCACAGTTAAGATCATAGTGCAAGTAGGCCTCCATTGTTGTAGCTATTCATAGGATCCTTAGCCATACAGTGAAATTACATGCAGATGATAAATAAAAACATTTAAGATGTAGCTTTGAGGTAAACATTTTATTACCAAACAGAAACAAACAGTGATTGACATGTTATGTAAGATGTGAAGCATTGTGCCTGACATAATGACACTCTTTGCAGTTTCCTGCTTTTCTGCATAAATTGGTCATGAAATGTGATCTGATCTTCACCAAAGTTACACATATCAACAAACACAATAGTTCTAAGCTAAACACAAGCAGTCATGATCTTTCATGTTCTTATTGAACACACATGTATTTATTAAAACAGTTGCCTTAAAATAAAGAATTTTACGTTCAAGTCACACTGAGTCAAAACATTATTTTCACTCTAGGCCTTTTACTATTTTACTATATCAGAAAAAACTTTGTTGGACAGAGAACTATCAAGCTTTGCTGTTCCACATTATAGTCATGAAAGATAAAAGGTCATTATTGATTTTTGAAAGTGAATGTT